GCAGAGGCTTTAATCCACTGAGCCACCCAGGCGCCCCACCAAGCTGATTTTCTGAAAAAGAGTGAGAGAGGACAGTAATAACAATAAAATAATGTGATTTCAACTGGCTGCATGGGCTGTAAAGAAACCAAACAAGAGTAAGGAGCAACTAGAGTGATAGGGGGTTTAGAGTAGTTACAGAAGAGCTCTAAGGAGGTTACATGATAAGGAGCTGCCAGGGGGCTTCGGCGGGGGGCCAGATGTGCCAGGCAGAGTAGAAGTCTCTGAGGTATGAATAAGCTTGGTGTGCTCACAAAGCAGTCTCAAGGTCAGCATATCAGCATTGTGATTGGCAGCAAGGGGATACCCTGAGTCCACCGGACAGAGGCATTCCTACCCTCCCGGTGCTTCCATCTGACCGAGAGGCAGATACTGAATAAGCACCGACACGGGAGAGAGTGGGGTGCTGGGAAAATGTTTCTCCTGGGGGCAGCCAGCCCCGAATGGGGACCAGAGACCGCACCCTTGAAGAAGCAATGCTGAATCTAAAGGTAAGGGAGAATGAATGTTGAGTGGCCATGGGGTGGGAGGAGGGGCTGAGAAGAGTTTGTGCAAGGGCCCTGTGGTGTTCAGGGAAGTGAGGGCAGGCCAGTGTGGCCAGGTATGGTTGTGAGTGTGAGAGGAGCACTGGCTGGCTTGGCAGAGGCCAGGTAATGCGTTTTGTCAGCTACGGACTTTATTCAGAGGACTTTTTTGGTAATAGCTTGAGATATAATTCACATACTGTACAATTCCCCAACCTAAAATGTACAACTCAACTGTTTTTAATACATTCACAGAGCTGTGAATCACTACAGTCAACTTTATAACATTTTCATTGCCCCAAGAAGAAACTTTGCACCCCTAACCATCATTCCCTGGTTTCTGGATCTCCCCCCAGCCCCGTGGTAACCACTACTTTCTGCCACTCTGGAAATGGATTTGCTTCTGCGGGACGTTTCATATAAGCAGACTCATACACTTATGCGGTCCTTTGTGACTGGCTTCTTTCACTGAGCATAATGTCTTCAGCGTTTATCCGTGTTGTAGCACGTATCAGAACTCCATTTGTCCAGATGGCCAAATAGTAGTTTACATTACGGACTCACCGTGTTTTACTTATCCATTCATTGGTTGGTGGGTTGATGGATGTTTGAGCTGTTTCTGGTTTTTGGTTCTTGTGAGTAATGCTGCTATGGATATCCAGGCACAAACTTTTGTGTGGGCGTCCATTTCCATTTCTCTTGGGTAGATACCTAGGAGGGCCATCACTGTGTCAGAGAAGTGCCATGTTCTGGTTCCTGTTCTTAAAAGACACTGGCTGCTTTGTGGAGAATGGGTGGGAGCGGGCAGGAATGGACATGGTGAGACCAGGTGGGAGGTTCCTGTGGGGGGTAGCATCTAGCAGGGCAGATGGAGAGAAACTCTTACGGGGGTGGAAGGAGCATTTAGTGAGGCATGAGGGAGGGGTGAGCCGAGGATCTCTCCCAGCTGGTGTGCTACCAAACGGTGAAAAGGCCGGTGTGTCAGGCATTGCGATTGGCAGCGGGGATAGCCCTGCTGGGTTGTGCTAGAGCAGGCTCCTCCCAGTCCACAAGAGCCAGTTCTACACATCTCTTCCCAATATAGCATTTAGCCCTTTTATGTTGGTAGCTTGAAATTGGCTATAGTGGGAGTCTGCACCATGGAAATTGGCAAACAGTACAAATCAGGCCTTTTTTCTCCCCCACCAAGAGCCACTTGCTAAATGTTTACTAGCACACCGCTTTCTCCCCACTTTGGACTGGTTTCCAGCTGGTAATGGTTTCCGTGGCAGAGGCAGGAACATGAGTTCCATTTTGCCCTTATTGAGCTTGAGGTGACTTGGGACATACACATGAACACGTCCAGCATACAGTCGGATTTGCTGACCTGGAACTCAGGGTTGACAAGGGGCTGGAGATGGCACCGTGGGAGCCACTGTTTCAGTGGCAGCTGTGGGGTGAATGAGCTCACCTAGGGAAGGAGTGCGACAAGGCCAGGCTCAGGACAGGTCCCTGAGGACTCTAGGTATAAAGCCAGGTTCCCCTTACCTCCAGATTGCTCAGTTGTAAAGCAGGCTGCAACAGGCAGTGGTTTCTAGGTGTGTATTATCAACTGGAGACCAGAAAAAAGAAGGAAATGACTGCAGTCATTTGTTTGATAACATCTTCCTGCAAACAGGGTGTTTCGACCTGGATCGAAGTGGCAAAGAGACACAGACAACAGCATTATCAGAGACTTCAGGGAGTTCCACTAGAGCTTTGGGATGAAAAAACAGATGGACTAGAACCAGTGCAAGGGCCAATTATTAGATCCAGCAGCAGACACTCAGCGACATGATTAAAATGTGAACACATAGGGGCGCCTGGGTGGCTCAGTGGGTTAAAGCCTCTGCCTTTGGCTCAGGTCGTGATTCCAGGATCCTGGGATCGAGCCCCGCATTGGGCTCTCTGCTCAGCAGGGAGCCTGCTTCCTCCTCTCTCTCTCTCTCTCTCTCTGCTTCTCTGCCTATTTGTGATCTCTGTCTGTCAAAATAAATAAATAAAATCTTTTAAAAAAATAAATAAAAAAAATAAAATGTGAACACATTTTGGGAAAGAAAAGAAGAGGGTAAGGAATGGACTCAGTAGCTTTGATTCAAACCTTCCCCCTTCCTGGCTGCACTTCAGCAAAACCTCATTTCGCCCAAGCACCAGAGATTCTGTTGTGTTCCTCCTTGAATGTTTGATTAGCTTGTCTCCCCTCCTGGGACTGCCGCCTGCGGTGGTCATAAGTGGCTGGCGGATTGTTTACTTGTATACTGTTAGAGGCCACGGAGGGAGGGCCCCACCAGCGGGCTGCTCTGGCTCATACGCCTGCCAATCAGAGCTTTACCTGGAACGAACAGATGGTCTCTTCACTTAGACCCATTTCCTCACCGTTCCCGGGCCCCCTGCCAGCATGGGCCCTGCTCGGAAACTAGGTCCTAATCCTTGCAGCTGAATTAAGGACTCCTTAGAAGGACAGACCATAATAGATGAGCGAGGTGAAGTGTTCACAGCCCCCACCCCAAGTCCCCCCTGCCTGACCCCTCCGTGGGGCCATGCACACCCAGCCTGCTTTGTTGGGCCTACTTCCATTCGCTGGCCTCCATCCAGGGCTGGGCAACAGAAGCAGGCCTGGGAATGGGGGAAACCAGTGAAGAGGACATCGTGCATTTTGTTTATTAAAGTTAATTGGTGAATGCAGGCCCAGGGAAGCCTATGATTCATTAGCATCCTGATGAATATGCAGCTGCCGAGTATTAAGAAAAATGAAATGGAAAGAAAGAAATCCCCAAAGGAGAGGTTGGAAAAAATCAAGAAGCTCTCTGCAGACATGCGATGCAGGCCTTTGTCCCACAACAAAATTTGAATGAGACGAATTCAAGTGATTTTTCACCATTTGCATAGCTGCCATGAAAACCATTCCATCCTCATCCCTGGAGCCTGATAAAGGAGTGACTTTGAACTGCTAGCAGCGCAAGCCAGTTGTGAGCAATTGTGTAAAAAAGAAGCACCTGTTTTTATAATTTATTTTTTTTAAAGATTTTATTCATTTATTTGACAGAGATCACAAGTAGGCAGAAAGGCAGGCAGAGAGAGGAGGAAGCAGGCTCCCCGCCAAGCAGAGAGCCCGACGTGGGGCTCGATCCCAGGACCCTGAGATCATGACCCCAGCTGAAGGCAGAGGCTTTAACCCACTGAGCCACCCAGGTGCCCCTATAATTTATTTTAATTTCAGAACCTTGCCCTGTCGGGACACGGCGACTGTGGGCAAGGAGGTTTGTGAGCGGGAATGTTACATAGGGCTCTGGAAGAAGTTCACTCCTTTACGTATTCAGTGACTATTTGTGCCGCCTTTGGGTTCCATAGAATGCTGTCGCCTCCCTGAGTGTGCACGGTGTCCTGGAAGGAACCAATGTGTGTAAACCATGGCAGTCTTGCGATTAGTAAGCGGAGGTGCTGAGGGGGTGCACTAGCAGAAACTCTGAATGGTGAAATTGTAGGAAGGGGAAATCATTTCAGGCAAAGGCCGGTGGGTTTGGTGAAGTTGTGGAACGTTCCAAATTGCTCGGAGCGGAGGGTTGGGAGGGAAGGTGGCAGCCTGGGCCCTGGAAGGCCTTGTGTGCTGTGCGAGGGAATTTACTTGATCCTGTAGCACGTGGGGGCTCTCAGGCTGTCAAGCAGGAGTAAGACATCAGATTGCAGTTTCGAAAGTCCCTAAAGACCAGGTGAGAAATGACAGGTGTGGAGTTCCAAATGATTAGGTAGAGGGGAGATGATAGGTTTGGGAGAGATTAAGGGGGTGGAAGGGAGGATTTTCTGACAGGATGTGGAGGACAGAGAGAAGCTGGACTCTGGGCTGACTTTCACGTTTCTGGCATGGGAACCAGGTGACTTTTGGTGTCATTCATAGAAGGGGAAGGAGAATGGCAATGTTGGTGTGCAAATTTGGGAGTCTGAGATGCCTCCGGGACAGCCGAGTAGGGAGGGTCTGGCGGTAGTCAAATACACTGTTGGGGGCTCAGGAGACAGGTGTGAGCAGAGGATGAACTTGGGGGTTGTAGAAGGTGGATGGTAATGAAAGCCCTCTCTAGTCATTTCATTCATTTATTCCACACCTCTTTATTACTCCTATCATGAGACGTAGGTATTATGGACATGAAGATGAGTGACACATGGCTCAGTCCTCCCAGAGACGACGGGGGAAGCTGAGGGGCAGGCCCTGACACTGTGGGTGCTGTGTGCATGTAACTCAGCCAGGAAAGACTTTCTAGAAGAGGCAGGATATAGGCAGGGAAAAGGACTGGCTACAAGGGTGCCTTTGGAGAATGACAGGTTGTACATTGTGAGGTGGTGGATGGGGATTACCAGGAAAGACCAGCAGGGAGGAAGGTTGGGGGTCCTGGCTTCAGAGCAAGGGTGAGAACAATGGTGTGAAGAGAGCGAGGCCAGCAACAGAGTCTGGGAACGTGATGTGTCGGGAATGGCAGGGAAGGGTGGTCAATAGCACCAGCTGCAGCCAGGAGGTCAAGGGAATTATGGCCTGAGGTATCTGCCAGGTGCGACAGGGGACCTTGGCAGGAAACGCTTCATTTGAGAACTGGGGCAGGAACCAGTGGGCCGAGAAGAGAGAGGTGAGAAAACGCACTCACAAAGTGCCAGCAGCTCTTTCTAGATGAGCTACATGGCTGTGAAGGGAAGGAGGAGGAGGTGGCTGGCTGAGGGCTACCTGGTGTTGGAGGGGAGGGGTGCGTATATGTGTGCTGTTTTAAGATGTGAAACTGGGGATGACATGTCCCGGAATAGGTCAGCCCAAGGGAGATGTCAAAGGTACAAGAAGAGGGTGAGGTACAGAGGGGAGAGGGATTGGGAGGCCGGCAGAGGCATGGAACCCTTCTCCTGCCTGCCATGTGGGGAAGCGGGAAAGAGGATGGTGGGTGGGGAGGCCCTTTTGGGGGGGGGGGGGGGGGGGCAGTGGAGGAAGTTACTGGCCCGTTTGTGAATACACTGTGTGTGTATCTGCTCAGGGTGAGGGGAAGCTAGTATTCGGCCAGGGACAGGAGAGTTATGAAGGTTTGGAATGGCTGGTAAGAATGAGAGAGGGAGGTGACAAGAGCACAGACAGGGTGCCCAGTGACCTTGAGGACACCCCAGAAACTAGAGAGCTAGACTCTGCAGTGACCTTGTTCACAGGATCATTATTTCCTCCAGTGTCATTCAAGTTCCTAAGTCTAAAAAAAGATAAAACCGCTTGGTTATGGACAGCCAGGGTGGGGTTTTGGTGTGGGTGTGACACAGGGGTGAAGGGAAGAGGGTCTGAGAACCCCAGATGAAGACTGTAGTGATAGAGCCCCTGGTTTAGGCTGAACAGGAGGGCAGTCAGTGCTTGAGGTCTCAAGGAAGTCAAACGCCAGGCTTTCTGGAACCCATATCCACAATTCATTCCCTCATCATCATGCAAAGCATGGCTGTCTTTTTAAGAGCCATCCACTTTTTTTTTTTTTTCACAAGCATCCAAATGTTATAAAAGTCTGAATGTTGAACTGTCGGTGTCTGGAGTTGGGGGGTCTGGCTGGCTCAGTCAGAAGAGCATGGGACTCTTGGTCTTGGGGTTGTGAGTTTGAGCCCCACTTCAGGTGTAGAGATTACTTAAAAATAAAATCATAAAAAAAGGAAAAAAATAAAATGTGTGTCCCAGGTCTGAATTAATCTCCTTCTGGCTCACTTCCCCGCAGGAAAGCAGTAATCGCCAGCTAGGAGGCCATAAACTCCTTAGTGAACCTTTTTCCTGCAGTACAATGTCTTTTTACAAGAATGCTCAGGAATGCTTTAGTTCGTTTATTTTCTAGCTGACATAAGTCTCTGCTATAGTTTATCTGCCTCAGAGACACACTTTCCCATCTTGATAAATGCACTGACCACATACACGTGTCTCGCCTTGGAGGCTGATGAACTTGCATGCTTTATATGAGGCCAGAGGAGGGCAGAATAGATCAGACAGACGGAAGGCATCCTTCATTCATTCAACAAACAATGAAGATTTACTAAGTGGTGAGTGCTGGGAATTCAGAGATAAATAGGACACAGCCTTCTGGGGAGACAGGAATGGAAGCTGTGACAGGCACATGCAGTGATAGAGACAGGCACAGGGTCATGGACAGTTTATCAAAGGAGGCATTGGTGTGGGCTAGGTCTCACAGGTCAAGTCAGAGAGCAAGCACAAAGCCACAGAGGTAAGAAGCCATCTGGCAAGGAGTACTCGAGGACCAGGACACAGCTGAGGTCTAGGGCCCGAGAGCTTTCATGCAGGCAAGAACTCTGGCCACCTAGGCTCTTGTGCTCAGGGGTTTCACTGCGTTTCTGTCCTGTGCCAAAAGGAAGAGCTTAGGCAATCAGGAAACCACCAAGAAAAAGAGTTTTATGGAGAAAGCACCCAAAAATCAAGATGTAATTTTCTAAGTAATCAGTGCCTGGCTTGTGGTCTTGGCCAACTCTATGGCTGCTTGTGAACTGGTGCATTCAGGAACTGCTCTGTTGGCACCTCTGAGTCAGCCATTAAGAGCTGGAAGGACCTCAGATGGCAAAGAAACAGAGGACCCTGGGGCAGCAGGACATGGGCTGGGGAGTCAGGCCAGCTGGGTGCCATACCCATCTCTACCACACACTGGCCGGTGACCCTGGGCAAGTGACACACTGACTCTGCGTTCTCAGTTAGGAGGTAGGTAAAGACCATGGGTGGACCAACCCCAAAGCATGGTCAAGAGGATGGAGCAAGACAAGGTGTGCAGTTAGGAGCGTGCCTGATGGAAAGTGCTTACAGATCAGATAAAGCAGAGATACAGAACAAAAAAAAAAAAAAAGAGGAAAGAAGGGAGGGAGGGAGAGAAGGAAGGAGCCCGACGGTAAACATTTTAATTTAGAACACCAAGGGGTCTGCTAATCAGATGGCAACTTTTTTTTTTTTTTGCATAAACTTCATTCTTAATGCATTACCCACAATTTCCACTTCATTTTTAAATATTTTATTTATTTAAAGTAAGTTCTACACCTAACTTGGGGCTTGAACTCATGACCCCAAGATCAAGAGTTTCATGTTCCACTGACTGAGCCAACCAAGCACTCCTCCAGTTGTTTTTAAACCAGAGTGAAAAGTCGTAGGTCTTGACAAAGCAATCTCTATGCAGAATCCTTCTATATGTTTACAAGCTTTGCCCCAATCTACAGTTGTTGATATACTATCGTAGAAATGACACTCATTTCAAAGCAACAAGTTGGTTTAATAACATGACAGTGGGCTCTGAAGCCCAGGAGATCCCCATTCTGGAACTTTCGGTGGGTTTTGTTTGCACCTCTGGATCTATTTCCTTAGTTATAAAATGGAGATGCTGTCCCTGCCTCACAGGACAGTGTGTGAGTGAATAAGCAAGCGTTGCCCACAGGAGACACAGACACTGGTTCCCCTCCCAGCACAGAGCTAGTTGAGATCAGCGCTCTGGAGAGAATGTAGTGTTGACCTCAGTTTCCTGTACTTACAGAAGTCAGGTTTCTAGCCCCTCTATCGCCACCTCCAGTGCCAACCGCCAGCTGATGATGCTAGAAGGGAAGTCAGGATCCTACTTTTCTTCTCTGGACTCAAGCATCGACATCCTGAAGAAGAGGGCCCAGGAGCTAATTGAAAACATCAACGAGAGCAGACAGAAGGACCACGCACTCATGACCAACTTCAGGGACAGCCTCAAGATCAAGGTGAGAGATTCTCCCACAAACTGCAAAGCCCCAGTGGGCAGGGGGAAGGTGTCCTCTGTAAAGGGTGAAAGGGGAGGGGATGAGCTGCTGCCACTGAGTGTCTTTGAGGTTTTAGGCCTGATGCTAAGCAAGCTGCAGATAGTACCTCATTTCTTCCTACAACAATCCTGCCAAGAGCTCAGACCTGTTTTATAGATGGTAAAGTAAGGTTTGGACATACTTTGCCCAAATGAAAGAGCCAGGATGAGGAACAAAGGCCCATCTGCCCCCACAGTCCACCCCTCTTATTTCATGCCAGGGCTGATGGCCATGGGAGTAGGGGCTGAGGCATAGCCTTCTTTGTCACACACATTTGTCCTCCAGAAGTTGAATGGTTTGTGGGGTGCCCGGCTGGCATGCAACTCTTGATCTCAGGGTTGTGAGTTTGAGCCTCACATGGGGTGTAGTAATTACTTACAAATCTTCCCCCCACAAAAAATGAATGGAATGGTTTGTGATGGGAGGGTAAGGTTCCCTTGACATGGCTGGGCCTTAAAGTGTCTAACAAAGCCTGATGTTATGTTCAGGTCCAACATTCGTGATTGTCCCGGAAGCTTCTTCAGAATGCATCATGAGTTCTGTTGAATGGGACAGCTTGTTGGTCACATAGGGGACACATGTCATGCATCTCTCAAAGACAGGCTGACTTTTTCCCTTCTCCCTCCTCCCATCCCTACCAGTACCCGCCCTGATACATGAGAGAAAACTTAGAAGGTAGAGAAGAGTATAACATAGCAGAAAAAATAGACAGACACTACTTTGTCGCATGTTTTCTTCCAGTTTCCACCGCGTATTTTCTTCCTAACCTGTCTGAGCCTGTACTATATACATAATTTTGCATCTTCCTTTAAAAAAAATTTAAATATACAGGCAATTTCACTTCCAGTCACTGGAATTGTTGTTACCATTTTTGTAAGATAAATTGCAGAAATCTTAGCGAGACGCTTAAAAACAAACATCTTGTGATGCCTCTTGTTTGATTTTCTAAAAACATGCTTTATTTTTTAAAAAGGTTTCAGACCTGACAGAGAAGCTCGAGGAGAGGATGTATCAGATTTATAATCACCACAACAAGATCATTCAGGACAAGCTCCAAGAGTTCACCCAGAAAATGGCAAAGATCAGCCATTTGGAAACAGAGCTCAAACAAGTGTGCCACACCGTGGAGACAGTGTACAAAGACCTGTGCGTCCAGCCTGAGGTATGACTAATGGCATGCCTGTGGGCACCGCCGAGGAAGGCTAAGATGAAGTAAATGTCAACACAAACCAAGGACGTTAGCACCAAGCCCAGCCCCAAACCCCACAGGGACCACTATCCCAGCAAAACCCCTGATGTTCTGGCCCCCTCACCCATGGCCCCAGGCTCCCTGAGGTGGTATGTCTGAGCTGAGAAGCTAGACGGTTGTTACTTGCCACCACTGTATGGTCAGCTCTGTGGTGACAGAAAGGACAGCGGCCCCTCTGTCTACAGTCCTGAGCCTGGGTCAGTGCCTAACCAGGGCTATTACAGCAAAGCCCAAAACTCGGACACGGGCCACACCACTTGAGGGGAAAATCCCTGCATGTCAAACACCTCACAGTCCCCACACTTTTCCCATGACTGAAATGACTTCTTGGGTGGTTACAATTAAATGTGGCCCAACACCTTGGGGTCACACATGCCGACTTTATTAGTCTTTTGCTCTCTTCCTGCTCCAACATCCAGCATTAGGCATTCACCCACAAGATGGGAGGGTCGGAGGGTCGGAGGGCACACAGTGAACTCCCGGTGTGTGGGGCATTTGCTCAGTCAGACACCAGAGGCTGCCTCCGTGCCACTCCCCTTCCCTCTTCCGGCTCCCGTCAACAGAAGCTTCTGTTCCAAGATAAGTGGAATCCGTTCCTGTCCACGGATAAAAGTGGGTTGAGAAACTTGGTACAGAGAGTCCCATCTTCTTTTTAAGGAACACATTTGAATGACTTCAAAGGGAAAATTTTGATAATTAAGAATCAGTGTCTCTCGCTTCCCACTATAAAAATTGGCTCCATCTGCCACCTCCCTGAGTAAGCTCAGAGCACAGCACTTCCCTGGGAAGGAGCTTGAGACCATCTGGGCTCCCGGGTGAAGCATGTTCACTTGCTGGCCGTGAACGCCTGGATCCCTGTGATTGCCCTTCCAAGGATCAGAGCGTGAATGTCGTGAGTGCCTGGACAAGATAAATACAGAGTCGGTGTGGAGTCCGAACAGCTCACAACCTCGCTTTAACGTCAGTCTGCATGTCCCTTCTCCCCCTAGGCTACTACTTCGGAAGAACAGGCCCACAAAGATGGCGAATTCTGAGAGCTACTGGGAGCGTCCCCTCTTAGTGACAGCCACCAAGAGAAGGCTGAGGCCACCACTGGCGCCATGCTGAAAAATTTTTTTTCACAGTTCTGTAATGCATCTTGGCAAAAATAAAAAAAAAAAATCTAAAAAAACAACCCAACAAGGGTCCTTGTGCTAGACCCAGAACTTCAAGTCCAGCCCTGGCCGTGGGCCCAGCTTTGGGACTCCCCCATACTTGGCAGATTCATCCCACGCGACCCTGCACAGTTGGTTAAATGTTTGATTTTCAACCCATTCATGCTTCTTTCCCTGTGGGATAGGTCAGGCCCTTTCTTATCCACAGAAGAGATGGGAAAGCAAAAATCAGATAAACTGCTTGTCCCAGCTGATCTCCGCCATCCTAAAGCCACCGTGCCGTATCCCATATTCCCCTCTCTCCGGGCTGGGTAACATGTCAGAGCCCTCAGTGCTCTCCTTTGCTCTTTCTCAGTTTAAATGGGTGAAGAGATACCGCCTCCCTTTCACGGAGCAAAACAATTATGTTTACTTCCCAAGTGCCAATCTGACCCCATCCTTCCCCTGCGTAAAACTCCCTGAAGGCCCCCCTCTGCTTGTCCTCAGGGTCATCCCCACACCGGTAGTATCCCCCCAACCCTCCGTCTTGCTGTTTCTGGAATGTCCCATCCAGAATAGCACCCGGAAGCTGTTTTGCTCTCCCAAGGAGCTACGCTTCCTTTCAGGCCTAACGTGGTCCCACTTTCTCCCCAAGATGAGCACTTGTGCCCCTTTACATTTCCCTATTTCTGCCTGGCTCATACAAGATGGTACTATTTTTTCCTTTTTTTTTAAGTTTTAAATTCTCTTTTTCCATGTCAGTTTTCCCATGAGGAAAGGGATTTGGGGCCCCATGCATGTTAACAGCCAGTCACCAGGTGCAGACACCCCAGCCTGACTGTGATTTGTCTTTTTTCTCTTAACGTAAAATGGGGTGGTGATTCCTGTGTGTAGCTGCACGTTTGCTCCCGGGCACCCACCAGCTCACCAGGCACTGTGCCCCGTGCTGGGGGTGCCCGAGGAGGTTGCAAAGTCCTGGGCAGCACCATGGGAGAAAGGGCCGAGAGCATGTCACTGCCACAGTCCCTGTGTGAGCCACTCCAGATGAAGAACACAATGGAACTTGCCCCAGGTCACACTGCTAGTGACGACAGCTGGGAGGAGGACTCAGGCCTGCTGTCCCCACCCTTCTCCTCTAGACAGTGAGGCCCCTGGGACACTCACCGCCCCACCCCGAGACCCAGCACCTACCTTCATAGGTGTTCACGGCCTCCAGGTTCATGGCATGGCGGATGACGTGATACTCATCAGAAATCCCATTCCCCCCTAGTATGTCTCGGGCCTGGCGGGCGATATCCAGAGCCTTCCCACAGTTATTCCTCTTCAGCAGGGAGACCATTTCCGGAGTGGCCCTGGGAATGGTCCAGACATGTCACAAGTCTGGGATCACAAAGAACTGATCCCAGAAGTCCCTAAGCCCTGGGCCAACCCAGCCAGGGGAGAAGATTCCCCAAGTTCTAGTCACAGCAGCAGACACTGAGCTTCCAGTAAGGGACAGGCAGGCAGTCCTGTCCTATTAAGGCCAAGAGGGAGAGAAGGGACAGGTCCCCAGGGGCCACCAGGGAGGAAAGACCTTTCTCCCCAGTTCCAGCCACCACCACGTCCAGCAGGGGCAGAGGGTCCTCTCCTTACTGCCTAGCCCCTGCTCCCCCAACACAAAGCCCCTACTTGTCTTGATCTTTCAAGCGGCCAAGCTGCAGGCAGGCGTGAAGGCCCAGCGTGATCTCAGTAAGCATGTCTGCCAGCTTCTTCTGAATCAGCTGGTTCCTGGCCAATGGGACGCCAAACTGGATCCTAAGCGGGGAAGTTCAGGGTTAAGTGTGGGCATGCTCACTCCCCAGTCCAGGAAGCCTTCCCAGGCTGCCTCGGCCCTCACTGAGTTCACCTTGGCCCTGTCACTGCTCAGTGTCACCAACGTCACTGAGCAGTCGGCCCCTCACTGCTCAGAAGGACTTCCCAGACCATTTCACCCAGTGGGGAACTTAAGTCTGATAGGCAGGAGATGAGGAGTCACTGGTAGGGTAAGGGATCGAGCCCGTGCCCCCCGTCAGGCCCCCCAGGAGATCTCATGGCAGCCCCACACACCTGTCCAGGCTGTACTGCCGGGCTGTGTGCAAACAGAATTCGGCGGCTCCGAGCACGCCCCAGGCGATGCCAAACCGGGCATTGTTCAGGCAGCCGAAGGGCCCCTGTGGGGTTGAGAGAGGCCTCAGCCCCACCCAGGAGCTCCGAGACCCCAGGCAGAACTAACTTACGTAGGGGGAAGCCCCCTCCCCAGATGTGCAGTCACGGTAAACAGAGGCATTCAGGGCTGCCATTTCAATCACACACAGTCCCAGCACCAAAGGTCACGCACACACAGTTCTACCCAGCCCAGGACCTGTGTCTCAGATGCTCAGATCTAGGGGATGATGTGAGGAGACAGAAAAAAGCACACGTATCAAAGGATTAAGCTGGTTCAGGCCCGTATGTGTCCTTGGCAGAGCCAGTATAAGCGAAATGGTCACTCCAAAAGGGCAATTTCCAAACATCAGTGAGCCAGGCAGAAGCTCTCAGAATCACTCGTGTGTGGGCTCCTCAAGCACAGGGACTGTGTCTGGTCCCCAGCTGGGTCCCCAGCATGGGGCCTGCCCAAGGAAGCCGCACCAGCAGGTGACCTGATACCAGTTCCCAAGGTGGCCGCTGCTCACCGCCAGACCAGATACATCAGGCAGCACATTCTCCTCTGGCACCTCCACACTGTCCATGACGATCATGCCCGTGGACGAGGCCCGCAGGGAGAACTTGCCCTCAATCTTGGGGGCTGAGAGGCCCCGCATGCCCTTCTCCAGGAGGAAGCCCCGAATGCAGCTATCTTCACACCGAGCCCATACTACAAACAGGTCGGCCACAGGTGAATTGGTGATCCTGGGGGAGGGATAGGCAGTGAGGGTCTGGCCACTTCCTTCCTGCCCCTGCCCACCTGCCTGAGACACCCAGGCCCCTCACCAGGTCTTGGTCCCACTGAGGGTGTAGCTCCTGTTGGATGGGTTGTGGCGGGCTCTGGTCTCCATGCTGCCAGGGTCACTCCCATGGTTGGGCTCTGTGAGTCCAAAGCAGCCCAGGAGCTCCCCCTTGGCTGCAGGGACAAGATAGGGTCACAAGTCTGCCTGTCCCCCACTCAACTCCTCTAATGAAAATTGTCAGCCTCCCCATCAAGCCAGGCCAAAGGGAGACCCAACTCTGCCCCCATGGCACTCTCAAGTGGTGTCAGTGTGTGGGGATAGCCTCCCACCCCCCCAGGCCACAGTAACAATGCCATGATCAGGAAGGAGGGGCCCCACAGGAGCCAGGAAAGAACGAACCTGTCTTGAAGGCAGTGAAAAGGAGTTAAGCAGGAGGAGGAAGGGTGGAGAGGAGCGGTTCCACTGAGGGTACAGATATGCAAAGGCCCAGTGGCACATGTGGAGAATGCCAGCTGAGTCTGGCTGAGGAGAAGTAGTCGAATGGCCAGAGATGAGGTGGCATGGTCAGCAGAGGCCTGCCTATTCATGAGGGGCCTGGTGGACCCAGTCAGGAAATTAAGACTTTAAACTTTGGGCTGGGATGGGGACACACAGCGAATCAGGAGGGAGATGATGGTGGTAAGTGGGCAGAGTGAAGAGAGACCCAGGAGGAAATATTCAGGAACAAATATAGGGGTGAGGCCCACAGTCTGGCAGGGGATCTGGGTAGCCATTGGAGCTATCCTTGAGGTAGGGACAGAAGGCAGGCTCTGGGGACAGTCCGATTCCTAAGTTCCAGACCACTGAGATGGTCTTCCTTCCACCAGGCTCTACAGGCAACTGCTCACCCAGCCGGGGCAGGTACTTCTCCTGCTGCTCCTTGCTGCCGTAGGCGTAGATGGGGTGCATGACAAGGGAAGACTGGACACTCATTGCTGACCTGTAGCCACTATCCACCCGCTCCAGCTCTCGGGCCAGGAGCCCATAGGCCACAGATGACACTCCGGCACAGCCATACCCTGGTGGAGGGGAGGGGGAAGGAAGACAGGGCAATGGGAGACAAAAGTCCCGCCCAGCTGGGACCAGTGTGATTCCTGGGGCCCAAGAGACAGAACTATATAGGGGCGCCCCAGGAGGAGTTTCCAGACTAGGAAACTCAGGCTCAGGAATAAGAAGGAGCTTTCCAGGACACAGAGCGGGCTGCAGAGTGTGGAAATAAATCTGTCCCTACCTTTGATGGTGGGCCCCAGCACACCAAGCTCCCCCATTTCTGAGATGATCTCTCGGTGAAAAACTGCAAAACACAGATGCTCAAACTCAGGCCCAGCCCTAGCCCACTGGAGCCCCCATCCCAGGGACAGAGGGGGCCCGGGGCCCTGCTAAAACAGGCAGAGCTGGTGTGCACAGGGGAGGGTGCCCACCCGCACACCTCAGCACCTTCGTTGCGATTGGCCAGCAGGATTCGGGGCATGAGGCGCTCCTGGCAATAGGTGCGGAAGGTATCCCTGATGAGGATCTCATCCGCTGTCAGCTGCTCCTCCAGCACCAGCGGGTCCCTCCAGTCAAATAAAGGACGCGAGGCTGGGAGAGGGAGCAGAGAGTGGGAGAGGGCTTGACTCGGCCCAGCCTACCCGACCACCGCACCCTCCTCTCCTGGAAGGCTCAGCCCCACTCCAACGCTCCCAACTGGCTCCTGGTGATGTGGGCAGTAAAGACCACTTGCAAGACGGCATTTCTCCGGGAAACTCACTGTCTCTGGCCCCGGCCACGCCCTGCCTCCCCTCTGGGGCAGCCCTCGGATTCTGGGACAGAGCCCATCCTGGGCAGACAGATGGACAGGAGCCACAGACGCCCGGCGCAAGGAGGGGTCCTTACACTTAGTCGCTCGGTTCTGTGTCTTCCCGCCCTTTTCTGCAAACACAGGACGAAAAAGTCACTCCGGAAAAGTCCCCCGAGCCTCCAGTTCCACCCTCTCCACCCTGCCCCCGACGGGCACTGACCAGTCTGCGCCGCCGCTGACCCCCACCCGCGCAGG